CCCCCTCCCCTTCTCTCCCAACGCCCGTTCCCTCCACCCGCGCTCTCCTCAGCTTCCCGCCATTCTCCTGCTGCCCGAAGCCTTTGGGTCTCAGGGGAGAGTAGTAGGTTTCCCCCTTGTTATGACTGGACCGCTGCCAGACCCACGTGAAGCGGATTGAAAGGAGGTCATTCAGTTCTGGCGACAACTATTTCAATTAAAATCTGCTTTTTCAAACAGTGTCAGAATGGGCTAAACTGTCGCAAGGGGATTGATATAAAGTGGTTTAGTGTAGAAAATCAATGCATTCTAGCAGTAAAACAAACCGTCGTAACGTGACCGCGTACTAATGGTAGAAATCCAGACAATAATAGCGCTGTAGTAAAATGTCTAAAGTGGTTTTTCATGGTGCGAAAAATGGCGTAAGTATAACTTTAACCGACGTACTAACTTGTACACTCTCCTCTGGAGCGATTTACCTCATAGAAGCTAAGTATGGTGAGGCTGAGTGGGCTTACTGCCTGGCCGACTCAGGCATCCTGTGTGAGTTCTCACACTCCGTTCGTCTCTGCACGCCAGAACAGTGACAAGTGGAGTGTCGGCGCTTACAAACAGTTGTCACAAAGTAAAGCAATATTTCGTGCGCATAATTAGATTCTCTCACAAGACTAATAACTCTTGCATCGTAAGTCAGTGCGTGCACAAGGTCACGAGAGTGTCGACAAGGCCCTTTGACAAATTTGCCGAAGACATTGAAAGAACACTCGAGGTGCAAAGGCTTACAAATGTATTCTTGACGGTTGCTCCTTGAAAATATATATTTGAGTGTGTGTGTGTGTGTGTGTGTGTGTGTGTGTGACTGAGAGGGGTGACGGTCCCAGCAGGGGACTTGGGGTGTGAGACACAGTTGGGGGCGGAGATGGAGAGCGACCTGCTATATTCAAGAGATGTTCCCCCGGATCAAACCCGAGAGCCTGGGCCCTGCCGGCGTGGCACGCGCTCGCTGGGGGTAAGGGGAGGGGGGGGGGCAAGAGGAGTTTGAGAGAGCAGTCACTCAAGAGCACACATTGCATCATATCCGACTGTGCTCTTCACGTTCCGGTGGGTACCAGACGGAAAGATAATGTTATGAGATGCAGCGACTGAGGCAGACGGAGCCAATGCACACCGACCTGCTCTCGGTATTTCAGTCCGGCGACTCTCGACTGCGCGAACGGTGCATATAACCTTCACTGCGCCACCGAAAAGAAGCGACCTGAGCCAAGCAGACTGGAGATTAACGGTCACTTCAAATCTCAGTTTGGAAAAGGTCAACTTGCTCACTTCTTTCGCTTCACAGACCAAATATCCCGTTTAAATTTTGACGCTCACCCTCACCCATCGTACTACCAGTTACTGTAATTCACCATTTCACTCGGCGGCCGCACTGGTGGTCTTCCGGTTGGTACAACATCTGTTTGTGGCCCGCGGAGGCGGCCTAATATGTGTTTTGTGGTTGTCGACGCAAAATTCGAGCTCTCTGACAACTAAGCAACGATCAGGATGTCACATCTAATTAAATATTCTAGTCCTTACTAGATCATAAAGGACGTTTGTACCAACCACCAGTGTGGCCACTGGGTAAAATGGTCAATTTTCAGCGTTAACAATTTTAAAAATTTCTAACGCAAAAACAACAACAAATATCGTTAGAAAAGTTCAATTCGTCCCATTTATTGTGAACAGTTGCAGCACTCTCTATGCTCTGGCCCGCGACCCTTCGCACCTCCTCTCTTTCTCTCGCTAACTCTCTCTCTCTTTCTCACACCCACTCACTTTTTTTCTCCCCTGCGCAGCGCTCCAGCCGCGCCCGCCCGTCCCCGCCGCCCCTGGAGTGGGCCGGGTACAAAGTCGCACACGGGGCCGGCAGCAACGCTGGGTTGAGCGGGCCCCGGGGCTAAAAGGGCAGCACAGGCAGCACACAGCAGCGCTACAATGGACCCGCCCCGCCCTGCCCCGCCCAGCTTTCGGCTTTGCACCACCACGCCCCGCCACTGCACGGCGCTGCATTGCCGGCTCATTTCCAATTCATCAGTCAGTGCCGCCTCCCAGCCGCCCCCCGCCCCGCGCATGTCACCTGTCGCTGGCCGCGACATCCTGTCTCTCTCTCTCTCCCTCTCTCTCTATCTCTCCCCCCTCCCCCGCTCTCTTTCTCCTTGACGTGTAATAAGAGTAGAGACGAGAGCTGAACTCTCGGGGCGACATCGCCCGGCCAGAGACAAGTGCCAGTGGGAACACAGAGAGACTGGTTGGTCCAGACCAGAGAGACAGTCGGGGGGAGGCGAAGGTCTCTCCCAAGTCGAGGGGGAGCGACTCACCCCGGCACTACAGCTAATCGGGGTAAGTACGCGTTACGATACGGAAGGACGCGCTACTGCCTTACCCGCGGCCTAGGCGTCGCGAGTAGCTCTCTGCGGCGCCAACAAGAAGTCCAGGGTAATTTTACCTGTAAAAGCAGGAGAAAAAAGAAAGTGAGTTAACTTTTATCCTGGCACACTTCAATTTTGTCATTTTCCGTATACAGGGTGGGAACACTGGAAAAGTAAAGGTGCGACTCAAAGGCATCCACATTTAATGTCCCTACAAAGGCATTAAAACTACCTAAATGTGCTAACATTTAATGCCTTTGCAAACTTTGATGAGTTTACAAAGGCATTAAAATGTAAGAAAGCCATTAAATCTTACCACGCTGATGTTAGCTATATACTTTCAAAATATTTTTAAAACTGTGTTCAGCTATGAGTTTGGGTCGCGCACAATTTCATAACGGTGTAAGAACGCCTTGTGTACGAAAAATCGATGCACCGTGTCGTGGATGCGCCACACAAAAAAGAAAGAAAAGAGGGGGAAAGAGTAGATTTATGTCGGTATGGTCAGGGCGGAGGTCCGGAGGGCGACCGGTCTGCCGGGGTGTTGACCCTCGCCTCGCGCTCTCCTCGGGTGGCGGTGGTGGCGGCCCTGGCCCTGAGGAGGAACCCAGCCAGGCGGGCCACCGGGCACCCGTAGGGGTCGAGCCTAACTCTGTTAGACCCACCCTCTGATTCCCCCCCAGTGTGTGCGCGTGTATGTGAGTGCGTGTGTGTGTGTGTGTATGGCGTGTGGCGGTGACGCCTCGACGCCCGCTGCCCGACCATTAGGGGAGAGGGAGGAGAGTGAGAGAGAGAGGGGGGGGGGGAGGAGAGAGAGAGCAGATTTAGGGTGAGAAAATGAGGGAGCGGTGCGATAGCAGCCCGAGTGGCGAGGGAGGTGAGGTCTGAAAGTCCATGGCCATGCACGCTGTACGTACACAAAGTGTGTGCATGGTATGTACGCAAGTAACCAACGTGTGCATAGAAATGCCCTTTGTTGCGATTGGCAGTCACCAATCATTTTTCGTGCGCATATGCATGCACAATTATCAACAGCCAAAATCAATGCGGAGAGAGAGCTCATAAGATGACGATTAAAATACAGAAAATCAGTAAGCAATAGATAAAGAAGTTCATAAGATTTTAGGGTGCGGGTACGAACACGCGAATTGCATTGTCTCTATGAAGCGTTGAAAACTTTACAGGGATGACAAAGCACAATGGCGTAACCACCGGGGGGGCCGGGGGGTCCGCGGCCCCCCCAACTTTCAAGTTAGGGGGGCCGTGCCCCCCCAACTTTCAGACCGACTAAG